CAGGGTGATTTCTACTGCAAGCAGCCATATTGTGAGTTTTCTGGCTGTCTTATCTATCTCAAGATCAAACTGCAAGGATCGTGGGTTAACGGTACCTCGCATAAACTAAGAGTAAAAGATTATGCAGAAAACAGAAAAATGCAGAAACAGAAAATAGAAAATCAAACAGAAAAAGAATGAAGAAAACTAATGAATGCAAAATATGCAAAAAATTGATGCAGAATTTTAATGCAGAAAATGTTTTTGCTGAATTTTTAAAGTGCAGAAAATTAAAACGTCCAATCTAAACAGTAATTAGTTACTTCTAACGTTGAAGGATCCGATCCCCGGAAACGTGCCAAAAACTTGTTGGGACTTGACAAGTGCACCGGTCGTTAAGTAATAAAAATGTACCAGAGTACGAGATCGTTCCCACGAGGATTGGATTTTCAAACACTAGTTCGCTAATCGCGATTTAGTTAGACAATCAAGAATTGAATTTGAGAGAATTGAAATTGAAACAAGTAATAACATGCAATTTAAAATTCATAATTAAAAAGAACAACTGAAAAGATGATGATTGATTAAGAATTTAAAACAAGCGTAGTTAAGGTTTCGACTTCCCCCAATCTCCTCAATATGCCATAAATTGAACTGCCAAGAATCCGTTCTTAATATAATGCCAATCAATTCTTTCTGAGTTAATTAGAACTAAATTCCTTGTTACCCTAAATCTATGTGATCTCAGAAGAACCCTAGTTCCCCGGTTATTCCCTAAGAAAACATCCATTAAGATCAAGAATTCAAAGATTGCACAATTATCCTATGTCTATCCCTATATCACAAGGATTATGATAAATTTACCAAATCTGGGTTCATGGACCAACATCCCTATTGTCATACAATTCCCCTAAATCAATCTATAAGGAGAAAACTCATAGAAAGCATTAAAGACGGATAAATTTATTCAATTATAAAAAGAAAAGAATTCAAGAACAATTTAATTCAAGACATACGATTCAATTGGGTTCCATCTACCCTTAACTACATAAAAGTCTAGCCTAGCATACTGAATTCAAAAACAATAATAAAGAAAAGAGAACCCCAAGCCTCAATTGGTGTGATGTTGACTTGGTTCCTCAGTTCTCTATCGCTCTGCAACAGGATTCTTCCCTCAAGTCTCTGTGTAATTCTCTGAATTGGTGTCGAATGCCTTTTCAATTGGTCCCTAGGCTTTCTATTTATAGATAAGAATGTATCATTTTATTTCTCTTCGAATCTTCGTAAAATATTGTGCACATCTTGATTCATATTTGAGATCTTTCATGGGCCTGGATTTGATCGCATATGGATGTTTTAGCGTGCTGTTTGGACGCTAAAACGTCCTACTAGTGCATTCTTGTCTGCCTAAGGGCATTTTAGCGCGCTGTTGGGCGCTAAAATGCCTTTTTCGAAGAGTGATTGGTTGTTTTTGGAGCATTTTAGCGCTCTACAGTGCGCTAAATGTCCTTTTCCGATGGATTTCATGTTGTTTTCCTTCATTAGAGCATTTTAACGTTACCTTGGGCACCAAAACGTCCTCTTCCAGCTTGTAAATTCTTGTAATCTTGCTTCTTTGAGGCTTCAAATCATCTTGTTGCATTCCTTTGGCTCTAAAAAGCCTTGATGGATGTTAAAATCCCTTGAAATAAGAAATATTAAAAAAATATTAGCAAGATATTCAATCTTTGTGACTTTACGGTGTAAAACCCTAATTTCCATGCAATTCATGATATATTTCTTGTATAATTAAACCTAAAAACATGGTAAACCAATGGTTTATCAGCATCCAAAGGCTTTGAGATGTATAAGGATAAATGGCTTTTTCTGAAGCATTTCATATGGAGTCTTGTTGTGAAGTAAGGGAGTACATAGCCCGTTTATAATATGTGTGGCTTAAGACTGCATATGACCAAAGATGTTGGGGTAGCTTGCCTTGGAAAAAAAGGATCTGCCAACATTGAGTACATGTTGGAGTTTCCTTTCAACTAGGCCATTTTTTTGATGAGATTCAACATAGGATTTCTGGTGAATGATCCCTTTAGTGTGGCACAAATCAATTATGGAAAATTCAGGGCCATTGTCATTTCTTATTTTTTTAACAGAAAATGTAAATTGATTTTCAACATAGGAAATGAAGTTCTTGATGTGAATCTGTGTTTCAGCTTTACTCTTCATGAGAATTAACCAAGTGAATCTTGAGTACTCATCAACAATGGTTAAAAAGTAATGATGGCTATGGATAGATGGTGTAGATATAGGACCATAGATATCAGTATGGATTATTTGGAAAGGAAACTTGTATTAGAATAACGTGAAGTGTAAAGTAAACATTTCTGTTTAGAAAGGAGACAAATGTTACAGGGACTAACATTCTTACAAGATATGAAAGGAAACTAAAGAAACATTGATTTAGTTACAGAATATGAAGGGTGACCTAACCTATAGTGACAAATAAGGATGAATCTTTGCTAGTACTATTGTTGCAGGATTTATGCTTGGCAAAACCATCATGTTGCAAAATGTACAATCCATCGAGTTGCTTAGCTGAACCAATCATCTTGTTCGAAGGCACCTATTTAATGGAACAGGTTAAATCATGGAAAATAGTATAACAGTTGAGGTCATGTGTGAGCTTAGTAATAGAGATGAGGTTTACATGAAAATTAGGAACAAGTAAAACATCTTTAAGATGCAAAGTTTCTAAGATATAAACATTCCTAGCTTTTGATACAATGATATGTGCACCATTAGGGAGTGTGATGGTAACGGGTTTAATACGATGAATAGAAGTCAAAAAGGATTCCACGCATGTTATATGGCCTGTGGCTCCTGTATCTAAAATACAAACCTTAGATGATATACCTGATTCTTTTGTATCAAAATTGAAAGCGGAAGAAGTCGCCATATTGGATGAGTGTGTTGAGGAAGTCATGCTAGTCTGATTCAGCATCCCTATCAGTTGTTGATATTGTTCCTTTGAAATCTTGAAATTTTCATCAGAATCTTGAATTTCTTTATAATCTTCCAACTCATCAGATTGCAGGTAATTGGCAATCAAGAACAAGGATTTGATAGTAATTCAGTGATAAAAGTATTATTTTTAATGAATTATTGATAATCCATCTTCAGGCACACTTTCACTCTGATTTTATGTTTTTATAGGAGGAAAGCATGGAAATAAGGTGTGTTGCAAACAACCAACTCACGCGAATAGCATGAGAATGGTGTGGATCGCGCCAAATTAAGGAAGAAAGAGTCAACACCACTGTAACTTCACGCTAATCGCGCGAAGCACAGGAATCTCAACTTATCGCCAGCGCGAATCGCGCGGATCTGGCGCTGATTGCACGGGCGTCGTGATTGGAACTTCCTAATTTGCAGATTAGGACAGAAACAGAAAGAATAATCAAATCTTTTGGAAGTTCATAACCTGATTGGGTAATTGGTTATAAAAGAGAGTCAGAAACCCTAAGAAAAATAACGTTTTGCACGGGAGGAATTACGAACAACAGAAATCGGAGCAAGCTCTTGGTGACTGAAGATTCAAGAGTTCTTCTTCCCATTCTTCTGGTTATTATTTTATTTTGTGAATTCTTTTCTATACATTGAGTTGTCAGACATGAACATGTCTGGCTAGTCTTTTATTATTGTGGTAAAGGTCACAACCCTTAATGTAAACCCCTTGTAGTTTGGTTAATTTTTATATTTAATTATTCCAATTGCATTTATTTTATCTTATAATTCTTTTAGAACTGATCACTCAGTTAGGATTGCGAGGGTTAGGATTTTCAATAGGAATATTGAGATTCTAGTTCCTGACAAAGGGTAAAATAACAATTCATATACGCACTAGGGATAGGCTTCATGAATTGCAAACGTGAAAAATTCACTGATTTAAAAGGCTTAACTTGAAAAGGAATTTCTAAGGGATTAGGATTCTAATAGGGTTGATAAATTTAAGATCATTATGGAATTATGGCTTAACTAATCAATTAACAGATGGTGAATTGTTTGATCAATGGTTAAATTAAATGTAAACATTAATTCATATTGCAAGGTGGGGATCATAAAGGTCTTGACGTCTTTTACCGCAATATTCTTTTAAATATTTTCTCAATCCTAATCTGTTATTCTCAAGGTTTGTTTTAAAAGCATATTTGAATTGTTCACAAGTTCTTGAATTGTTCTCAATTTTTACAACCATAATTATTCTCAAATCAATTTTATTAATCCAACAAGAGAGAAATAGTTATAATAATTTCGGTGTCTCAATCCTCGTGGAGACGATACTCTACTCATCCCTTTATTACTTGGAACGATCGGTACACTTGCCGATTTTTCGCAACAAGTTTTTGGTACCGTTGCCGGGGATTGAATACGCCAATTTTATTTATAACTTTTGATTTTCTTGATTGGATTTTGTTTTGTTACTAATCTTTTTGCTTTAGTTTATGCGAGGTAAAGTAAATCGAGAAAATTTACAGTTTTATCCAGAAATCGAGAAAACTGCAAAGAAGAACCGAAAGCAAGCCAAGCAAAGAAAGCAGGAAGAGTCTTCGAGTTCTAAGCCACACACAGAACCAGTGATGGCAACCCCTAATCCACCTCCCGCAGAAGAATTGATGGAGTCAATTCTTGCTCCTATGTTCACGAGGCCGAACTCTAGCATAGTCAGGTCACAGATAGATGCCAACAACTATGACATCCATCTGTCGCTGATTACCTTGGTGGAGAAGACTCCTTTTGGTGGAGAGGACTACGAAGATTTTCATGACTTTATGGACAGATTTCTAAGAATCTGTGACACAACTAAGCATCATGGAGTGTCTGATGATGCAATCAGACTCCGGTTGTTTCCTTTTGCTTTGACCGGGAAAACCCTCAGATGGTTAGATCGACAAGCTCCTAACAGTATCCGAACATGGGACGAGTTAGCAGCCATGTTCTTTGCTGAGCACTTTTCTAGGGAAAAGTACAATAAGTTGGTGAATGAAATCACCAACTTTATTCAACAGCTGGGAGAGACCTTGTGTGCAGCCTGGACTAGATTCCAGGAGTTGATCAGAAAGTTCCCCCAATACGACTTGCCAGACGCCAAGAAGGTCAGAGTCTTCTACAATAGGATGGCACCAGATTCCAGAATGGTTGTCAACGGTGCAGCCGGGGGAACCATAGGAAAGAAGACAGCAGCTGAAACTCTGGAGCTGATTAATTACATGGAAAGGAACGAGAATGCTTCAATGGAAGTTCAACCAGTTCAATCGAAGAAAAGACTTCTACAACTGGGGAACACTGATGCATCTCTAGCTGAGCAAAAGGTGATTGCACAACAGTTAGCCAGTATGAATGCCAAGCTAGACAAGATGAAAATATCTACAGCTCAAGTTAACTCTGTTAGCCGCGAGTACTGCAAAGGGGAGCATGAGACTAATGAGTGCCCAACACTCATGGGAGCTGAATTGTTCCAGGTTAACGGAGTTTGGTATGATCCAAGCCCACCACATAATACCCAAAGCTTTCAGAGAAATCAGAATGGTGCCCAAGGAAGCAACTTTCAAAGGAGAAATCAAGGAGGAGGCTTGGATTATAAATCCAACAACTACCTGTAACCTCCTCCTCTTCCACATAAAGAGCATCAGAATTGAAGAAAGCAATGTTGCAGCTTTTCAAGACCACAAATGATCACATGCAGACTACTGATGCCTTCATGAATGAGACAAGAGCCTATCACAAGATCCATGATGCTTTCATCCGGAATTTGGAGACTCAGATAGGTCAGTTGTCTAGACAGTTAGCTGAAAGAGCTCAAGGGCAGTTTCCTGGTGATACAATAGTGAATCCTACGGCAGACTGCAAATCCATTGTAACTAGGAGTGGAATTGTGATTACTCCTCAAGACAAGACAAAGGTGTCTTAGAAAAAGAAAGTTGATGAACCAATTATTGTGCTGGAGCACGAAAAAGAGGTGGAAAGACCTGCAAGTGAGAAAGAAGAATCTGCACAGCAAGAAATAGAAGAGGCAAAGGAGAAACATGTTGAAGCTCCAAAGAAACTGATGGATTATTCTCGTTTTGAGAAACCTCCTTATCCTATGAAGCTCAAGCAACAGGCACAAAAGCAACAGTATGCCAGGTTTTTAGATATGTTTAAAAAGTTGCATATTAATATTCCTTTTGCTGAAGCCTTAGCTAATATGTCTAACTATGCTAAATTCATGAAAGATTTATTGTCTAGAAAGCATAAGTTGCAGGATTGTGAGTCAGTAGCACTTACTGAAGAGTGCAGCGCCATTATACAGAAGAAGTTCCCACCAAAGCTTCGAGATCCTGGGAGTTTCAACATCCCAATTGCGATAGGCAACACTAATGTTGGTCGGGCACTTTGTGATCTTGGAGCAAGTATCAACTTGATGTCGCTGTCAATATACAAGTCATTGGGAATCTCTGAGTTGAAGCCAACTATGGTCTCTTTACAGCTTGCTGACCGTTCGTTAAGGAGACCTAATGGAGTCATAGAGGATGTCCTTGTCAAAGTTGACAAGTTTATCTTCCCTGCTGATTTCATTGTATTGGATATGGAGGAGAGTGAAATACCTCTTTTACTGGGAAGGCCGTTCTTGGCCATAGCTCGAGCTATGATTGATGTAGAACAAGGAAAGCTCGAGTTACAGATGAATGATGAGACAATCACTATCAATGTGTTTGATGCTATGAAGAACTCATCTGACCAGAGTGACTGCTTCAGACTTGATGTGTTTGAGGAAGTAGTCAAGAAGAAAATATGGATGATCAAGAGCTTGAAGAATAGTTGAAAGCTTGAGATGAAACTACTCCACAAGAAGAGCGAGAATTGTCTTTGAGGTACTAGAAAAGAAAGAACATGATTCAGTTACATTGCCACCAAAAGTAGAATTGAAAGAGTTACCTAAAACTCTGAAATATGCCTTCTTGGGAGATGAAGAACAATATCCTGTTATCATCAATAAGGAATTGTCTTCTGATGAAGAGGAAAAGTTGTTGAAAGTACTTAAGCAGCACAAGACAGCTATTGGGTGGTCTATTTCTGAGTTGAAGGGCATCAATCCTTCTTTCTGCACTCACAAAATTTTGATGGAAGACAATGTCAAACCAGTGAGGCAGCCTCAGAGGAGACTAAACCCCACTATGAAGGAAGTAGTCCGCAAGGAAGTGGTGAAGCTCATGGATGCTGGAATGATTTATCTAATTTCTGACACTGCATGGGTAAGTCTAGTACAGACAGTTCCAAAGAAAGGAGGAGTAACTGTTATGAAGAATGAGCAGAATGAGTTGATTCCCACCAGAACTATTACTGGTTGGAGAATGTGTGTGGATTACAGAAGACTGCATGATGCCACAAGGAAGGATCATTTTCCCCTTCCTTTTATTGATGAAATGCTGGAAAGGTTAGCTGGGCATGCTTTTTATTGCTTCTTGGATGGTTATTCTGGCTATAATCAAATTCCAGTAGCACCAGAGGATCTGGAGAAGATGACTTTTACATGCCCATTTGGAGTCTTTGCCTACAGAAGAATACCATTCGGCCTCTGCAATGCGCCTGCAACATTTCAAAGGTGTATGCTTTCTATCTTCTCTGATATGGTAGAAAAATGTTTAGAGGTTTTTATGGATGATTTTTCTGTCCTAAACTGGGAAAAGTGCCATTTTATGGTACGAAATGGCATAATATTAGGCCATAAAATTTCTGAAAAAGGTATTGAAGTTGATAAGGCAAAATTGATGTTAATTGAAAAACTTCCCCCTCCCGTTAATGCTAATGGTGTGCGAAGTTTCTTAGGCCATGCAGGTTTTTATCGAAGATTCATCAAGGATTTTTCGAAGATTGCAAAGCCTCTTAGCCAAATGTTGGTGAAGGAAAATGAATTCCTTTTTGATGAAGCTTGCCTCAATGCATTCAATGTATTGAAGGAAAAGCTTACCACAACGCGTGTTCTGACGGCGCCAGACTGGAATCTTCCGTTTGAACTCATGTGTGATGCAAGCGTATACGCCATGGGTGCAATACTTGGTCAACGTAAGAACAAGTTGTTACATGTTATTTACTATGCTAGTAAGGTTTTTAATGAGGCACAAGTTAATTATGCCACTACTGAGAAAGAGATGCTAGCAGTAGTTTACGCTTTAGATAAATTTAGACCTTATCTGATAGGTTCTAAGGTGATTGTATTTACTGACCATGCTGCTCTTAAGTATTTGATGACCAAGCAGGATGCAAAGCCACGTTTGCTGTGTTGGATGCTCCTATTCCAGGAGTTTGATTTGGAAATCAAAGACAAAGCTGGAGTAGAAAACAAAGTGGCGAATCATTTGTCAAGGATTCAAGACAAGGACTTACAACAAGGATCTGAAATAGAAGTTAATGAATCCTTTCCTGATGAGCAAGTGATGGCAATGATCATGAGTCCACGGTTTGCAAACTTTGCAAATTATAAGGCTGCTGGATTAATGCCTGATGATCTCACTTGGCAGCACAAAAAGAAGTTCCTTCATGATACAAGGAGGTACCACTAGGATAACTCTTTCCTTTATTTTCAATGTGCTGATGGTGTAATTCGTAGGTGTGTCGCTGAATTTGAAGTGCCGGATATTCTGTGGCACTGCCATGCATCTGATTATGGAGGTCATTTTGGAGCCAACCAGACTGTACAGAAAGTACTGCAGAGTGGCTATTATTGGCCCGCAATTTTCAAAGATGCACGAGACTTTGTTGAAAAGTGTAATAAGTGCCAGAGGATGGGAAACATATCTCGCAAAGATGAGATGCCCCTCAATTGCATATTGGAGGTGGAGTTATTTGATGTTTGGGGAATTGACTTCATGGGACCATTCCCTAAGTCATATTCGAACCAATACATCCTGGTTGCAGTGGATTATGTGTCCAAGTAAGTAGAAGCAGTTGCTTTACCTACCAAAGATGCAAAGGTGGTAAATGCTTTCTTGCGAAAGAACATTTTTACCCGCTTTGGATTTCCTCGTGCTATCATAAGTGATGGTGGCACCCACTTCTGCAATAAGCATTTTGAAAGCTTGCTTACAAAGTATGACGTCACTCACAAGGTAGCCACACCATATCATCCTCAGACTAGTTGACAAGTAGAGATTTCAAATAGAGAGCTAAAGAGGATTCTGGAGAAGACTGTAGGCAACTCAAGGAAGGATTGGGCCAAGAAACTAGATGATGCACTCTGGGCATACAGGACCGCTTTCAAAACACCAATAGGTATGTCACCATTCCAACTGATGTACGGTAAGTCTTGCCATCTTCCTGTAGAGTTAGAACATAAAGCCTTGTGGGCTGTTAAATTTTTGAATTTTGAACCATCAAAAGCTAATGATAAAAGATTAATGCAATTAAATGAGCTTGATGAGTTCAGGTTAACAGCCTATGAGAATGCCAGGATCTATAAAGAGAAGACAAAGAAGTGGCATAACAAGAAGATCCAACCAAAAGAGTTTGAGCCAGGACAATAGGTATTACTATACAACTCTCGACTGAGGTTGTTTCCAGGTAAGCTCAAATCATCTGAGAATCTTGACATTTCTCAGATACTTTCTGACAGGATTCTCCTTATCATCATAGCTGGCAAAGGAGACTTTCACTTGGCACATTCATCTCTGATTATGCATTTATGCATCCAAGCTGGAGTCCAAATACCATTAGAAGAACCAATGGATGTGAAGGTAGCTACAACCTTGACATATGAAATGTACATACAAATGCTTGTAGAAGCAAGGAACATGCAGATGATTAGAGCTGTAGAGTTGCCATCATCTACCTTAGCCACAAGGAGCCCGCGTATGTGGCCCCGTGAACCTTATGGGCCACATGTATAGCACATTCATCCTTCTGCTGCAGCACCACAGAGCACCCCACCAGCAGCACCACAACATCTTTATGCAAATTCCCCTGTTATACTGACCATGGAAGGACAAATCCAGAACATGTAGGGACAGCTTGACCGTCTGAGCATACAGGGTGATTACTGGACACGCATGCTAGAGGGCATCTGTCAAGTCACTCGAGTGGATACATCTGCTTATCAGCCAC